AGTATATTTTACTCTGCTTATGCGGGTATGTTTTCCCTCTCACACACTTTAACTTCAGTAACCACAGTTTGTTCTCCATCTCACACACACACACACACACACACACACACACACACACACACACACACACACACAAAACAACAGGGATACTGTGGGAGTTCTTCAGTGTGAGTGAGGAACACATGAAGCTCGCAGTTTGGTCACAAGAGAAAGTTGAAGAAAAAAGCTTAAACAATTTCTTCTTTTTTTTTTTAAAGAGCATTTTCCAAAACCGCTCCCTCGTTCACCCTTTCCCCTTTCTCTCGATTATGAACACTGGCTAAATGAGATTTTGGACACTTACACACACTTAAAAAATGCCAAACTTCTAGTTCCAGCTACATTGTGAGGATCCGCTGTTTCTCTTTTTTTCTTATGCGATGAATATCTTTTGAGCTTTTGGATTATTGGACGGACAAAAGAAGACTTTTGATGACGTGGCCTTGTTGTGTGGGAAATTATGACTTTTTAAAGTGCTTTCTGACTTTTAATAGTCCAGACGATAGATCGCTCAGTCGATAATGAAAATAAGAATTAGTTGCAGCCCTAACGGACACTACTTACAGGAGTGTTTGCACACACCAATAGTGCATACGTTTTGCACTATGTGAATATGGGCATATACGTTAAGTACACTGGGCAGCAAATAGACAACATAATCATCACTATCATCCACATTTGAATGGAATCCAAACTAAATATATAATTCCAGGTTCAGACAGGACTTTAGTGTTGATTCATCGGTGCAGTAAATATGCAAAACACAAACTGCCTGATATTGATCATATTCGATGATATCCACACTGATGAGCCCAGATCTGATGTTAAATACAAGTCTGCAAGTCAGCAAAATACCAGTTTGACTTCAGTATCCGTGACCCGATAAAATCCACACACATTGATGGTCCATCCCACCTTTAGTATAAAACATTTTGACAGAGTATTTTTTGGGTACTAAACAAAATGTGTCCGTGTATCAAAAACTGTCACAAACTAAAAGTAGAGCTTTGGATGTCTGGTTAGCTTCACAGGCCTGTGTGTGCTTATTGTATAGGAGATCATTTCCCCCATCCCAGAGTGGGTTTAATTTAGACAAAGTTATTGTACGACTGCGTGTGTTTATCAGTATTAAAACTATAAAAAGAAAATATAAAAAGTGTACCTCGCCGTAGTGGCTATCGGACCCATTAGCTGGTAAGTGTGCTAGATTTTCTCCAAACATTGCATTAAACACAGCCTGCACCAGAAGGAAGGAGCTTTTAAACTGTGTTCTGGTACTTTTAACTAATGGTTTCTTCTTATTCAATACAGACAAAAGAAGACTGCAACGAATGATTATTTTCAATACCCAATAATCAGCCAATGATTTTCTCAATTTATTGTTTAGTCAATAATAAATGTCACATAACTGACACAATGTTTAAAAGACTGACTTGTCCAAGTCCAGAGCACAATATATATATATATATATTCATTTTACTATTACATAAGACAATAAAAGCTGAAAATCACATTTGAGAAGATGGAACCAGCAATTCTATTCAAGTGAAATGACTGAATGATTAATCCACTAATTGTTTCCCCTATCATGTCGTCTCAAAAGGAATTATGTTCCATGAACAACATCTTTCAAAATAAATATAAATAAATGTGATTTTCTGTTTTCCCTGATGTATTGAAAACACATCACACTGTGCAGTGTGTTTGAAGACCTGTTTGTTCAGCTGAACAGCTGACTCTGCCATCACCTGCTGATGGGGGTCCTCTCATGTCATGTATGTGCGGGCGTTCCTCCCACATGGTGGAAGCAGTGAGTCCACTCCCGCGGCTATTTCCAGCTTCAGTGTTTACATTAAACATGTTGATGTCCAGTATAGATGTCCAAATATGGACATCTATACTGGACATCAACATGAACAGTCACACAGCATCGAACAAAAACGGTAAAAACTACATTTGTAGGATTAATCACTAGAATACAAGGGTAGCTCACTTAATTACAGATTTATGTATTCCTATTCCTTAACTTTGTCCTCTCAGGCCACCATACACTCTCACTGTGAAACCAAATAGATCTGCACCAAATGTGTGGATGAACACAGCAGTTTAACAGCTTGTTGAGAGGCAGATTCACATGAAGCCAAACAAGAAGTAACATGTATTTACATGCTGTGTCAGAATATAAAGTAATTAACCCTTTAAAATGTTGCATTTTACACTTAATCATTCTACAAAACTACACTGCTGCATCTTTAAGCTTTCACTATTTAATAAAAGAAGTGTCACAGAGCTAAGAGGAACTAAATATATACGCCATTTTTGGAAGAAGTATCAAAACACAAAGTCACAAGACACCAGTCTGCACGTGAATATGAACTCATTCCAGCTGCCTAATTGTGTTTGTTGGTCACAACTAAATAATGCAGGGAAGTGGAAAGAATATCAGGAAAATATACCTGAAATAATGATTACTTCACAATGAGAAGCACAAACAAACCACAAACTACACTATGTTGCAACATGTGTAATTACACAATGATTCCCAGAAGTAGAAGATGTAGTCAGATATTGTATTTATTTTTTCAGCATAAAAATACACCCAAAGTACCCATTATGCAGAATGGCCCATAATAATATGCATTATTTAAGATGAATAATGCATATTATAAGATTGGATCATACATATTTCTGCATCAATGTGTTCATAACGGAGCTGAGACGTGAAAGCGACATGAATGAAACATGAATGAAACGTCTAAAACACTAAATCTAAATCATATGTTGTCACGACGTCGCAGGGATCAGAACGCACAATGTGGGTCATGATCACAGCCGCTGATGGGGGTTGCAAAGGCTTACTGGGACTCGGAAAGTTGCAGTGAACACAAAAGACAACACGGAAATACACAGACATGGAATATGCATTTGAATAAATTGGTCTCACCGTTTGACCACGACGGTCTCCTCTTTCTCCTTCATGTTCGCTCTGACAGCGGAGCACCGAGCTTCTGCTCTATATTGTTGTTTCTGTTTATCCAAACTGAACAACAGTGTCGATGTCAAACCCTCAGCTGTGTCAAGCTTTCACCTGCAAGGAAACGCCGTTTCCGGTCATATTCAAAAAAATAAAAGTCTACTTGATAGCGCAAGAATCGATTTTAACATGATTGTTCTTAAGACTTACCCCCAGTTATTTGGCCGTGGTGGAATGTAATGAAGTATATTTACTTAAATACTGTAATTAGTGGCTGACCCAGGCTGTAGGTGGGGCAAGGGCGAAAAAAATAAAAAAAAAGGGCTCCAGCACAACAAGTTTCCTAGCATGTAGGTCAGACAATGTAGCACTGCATCACATTTATTCCATTTAAGGGCACCCATTGATAACTATATACACTATATCATGTTTTGTCTTCTGAAAGGGGACACCTCATCATCTTGTCTCCACTGGAAGGAAACCATAGAGGGCTATTTGAATTAAACTTGTAAATTAGTGTAAATTAACCTCAAACAAAAAGTGAACATACAAAATCATATTTTAAACTTTAAAATATAAAAAAGTACTTTTGTATGTTCAAGGAAATAATATTTAAAATATAAAGAATAATTTCCTGTGGCATCTAATTAAACTGTATTTAGTTTTTATGCTTTTGTTTAATAATATGTTTAGCTACCTTATCTTTTAAATTTGATATATTTACGTGTCATATTCTATTAATCATATTTTATTTTACTTTTTTAACTCACTGAAATTGAGCAAGAATTGTGCTGAATGACTGTTTCTTCACAATCTTCAATAAAGAGGGAGAGAGATGGAAAAAGTAGGCCATAAGATCACAGAAGGATGTTTCCCCTGACGGAGCTTTTATTTAGGATTGTAAAGGTGGTTTCCGGTGGTAATGTCTGTTTGTAGCTTGACGGACCTGAACCGACCTCTGAATGTATATTCTCCGTGTCAGAGGCACGTCGACATGTTTTGTTTTTTTTTGGGTAAGAGGGTCGTTTTCTGTCAATACAAAATAAATGTGGTGGAGGGTGGAAGCTGGTGATCATAGACTGTATTAGGGGACCCAATCCCAATCTCCACACTCACGGACTGCACAATCCACGAGGGTTTAGGGTTTAAGGCTTTAGGTGGGATTGTGTCGTTATCTTCCTCCACAGATGCAGAGAAGCCGTGAAGCCGACTGTGTTTAACTGTAGCGCCCTCTACCGATCACCCTCAGTCTGTCTGTCAAGCTACTGCTGAACTGGTACATACATGACGTATTCAATCAATTTACTTTTACTTTTACTATGTATTGTTTCTTCTATTCTGGGATCCACTCATGTCTGCTATGAGAATGTATCTTTAATGAATGTACTGTATGAACTTTGTTTAATCACACTCATGCAAGTTTCAAGTTAATTTATTTTAGTACTAAAGGGAAATGGAAACCAAAGGAGCCAAGTACTGGTCTGAAGTACAAATGTGAGGTACTTGTACGTCATTTAGGTACTCCCATTGTTTTCCTCTCATTATCAATCATACTGATATTGAACCGGTATAACGTCATGAGGATATAGATTACAGGACACACACGACTGTTTCAGGTTTTAATAACAGATCTTCATATACAAACTGGACACAGTGACGTCATTCTGCCGTTATAACTTCCACCGAAACGAATGTAAAGTGTGTGAAAGCGTGTGTGTGTGTGTGTGTGTGTGTGTGTGAGAGAGAGAGAGTGTGTGTGTGTGTGCACGTGGTATGGTGGAAATAGAGAATGCATAATTCAAACATACACAAACAAACATGGAGAAATAAGAAACAAGAAAAGCTTCAATAAAGTGTCTCGTTTCAGTCTGAAGTGTCACATGAAAGTGAACAACATACACGGAATGATGTTTGTTCCCTTGGTAATGAGTTGATTCGTGTGCAAAAAGACATGAAGAGCTTTATTTTTTTTAAATGTGCTCGTCTCATTTGCCTTCCTGTCTGGACACAGCGATGTGTGGAGGGGACTCCATACCGCTTTTGTTCAGTTCATTGGGAGTTTTTCAAACAGCACACAGGCCCCTGAGACGTAATCCTAAATGCTTCCACAGCCAAATGAAAACCAACACCTTCCATTTACTCTGTTCTTTACCTGTTTATCTGTTCTTTCTTTATGAAGCACACAATTCAAACATAACCTGGTTGTCTTTAAAGCTCAGAAAGCAATAACATCCTCGGATGAGAAACTTGAAAGCACCTTTAACAGACTGCATCTTTTATTTGTTTGAAAGAGTGAGTGTTCAAGTAGGCTTTGGAAATTAAATCTCGTCCCGCAGGATGGTTTTTAATGAATCTGTTAACATTTGTCAAGTTCAGCTTTATTGATTGGACTTTTTTGGCCCACTGAGTGATCCAGCCTCAGACCACCTTCATTGATATGAATGATTTCAGCTGAGGCTAAGCGGAGCTGTACACCCGGTCGATGCTCTCCATGATTCACCCACAGTAACGTTTGTTTGACGGGCATAAACATGTCAAATAGTGAAGGGACTTTTGGTGGAGATGATGTGCTCCAAGAACAAAAAAAATACAAGTGCGACATACGAACACACAAGCGTTGTGTTTCACATCTCACATCTGCTTCCATTTTAGCCCTTCACAGTTACAGTTATTTAGCCGGACTTTACCAATATCAAATGCAGGTTAATAACAGCAGTAACTCTTTAAATCTCTAGCAGTAGAGAGTTGGTTGGTGACAACAGCTGCCTCTATACAGACTGCAGCAGGGATGATGTACGCTTTATAGGCCAACCAGGAAGTTAGTGTCAGGCTGGTTCCCTCAACAAAAATCAAAAAGATTTTGGATTATATAAAATGAGCTCTGTGGCAAACAAACGTTTATGATACATTCATACCACTTTTATGACGTCTAGCAGTCTCATTTAGCCACTTGTTAGCAACCGCATTTTGTAAAAGCATCAAAATTCACAAGAGGGGTGTTTACGGACGTATTTTATTTTGTTAAACAAAAGGTTAAAAACTCTTAAGCTTGTGTTAATCAAGTAAATTATTTCAGGTTTCTAACCAAAAACCCATTAAAAACAACAACATTGATTTTAAGACGAGGGAACCAGATGTGCAAAAATGATGCAGCACCTGCCTTCCCAACAGCTGAAATCAATTGCAATAGCGGTGTTTCAACCACCAGAGGGCAGTCACTATGCATATTTAGAGCACAATATGTAGAATTCAAATACTATAGATAGATTTGGTCCTGGATCCACCGACAGCACTTCTAATGACACATATACATTGGCTTTCAGCCGAACAAAGTGGTTTGGGGGTTTAGTTACTCTTACAACTGTGAACCAGACCTCAACATCAGAAGCTGCACAACTTCTCTCAGGGTTAACTTCAATACTTTAAAAGAAAGGTCGATATTTTGGGGTGAATTATTCCTTAAACAGATCTAGTTTATCCCGTCGTGATGAAGCAGTCATTTAGCCTTTGAGTCGAGATCGAGGCCCATGAGCTCATTCGAGACACAGACTCTCTGCTGTTGCTATGACAATGACGACCAGTGTATATAGGCTGTGAGGAAACCTGCCGGTTTTGTCTGCTGCTACAAGGGTATAACCTTGGCTTCTGCAGTGCTGGAAGTTGCTCTGCTATTTATAGGATGAATTGTCAGAGCGGTAACTCCATAACTCATAAAAATGCTGATAAAAACACTGCCGGCTTGCTGCACTGTGAGCCTCCAATTCTATGATGTAAGATCGTAGTTTGTAGCCAAAAACACAAAGCAGATCCTCAGAAACACGTCGACGTCTTTTCTCTCTGGTTGACGACTTAGAGGTGGACGGAAATAGTTTGGCGTGCAGGTGTGTTGATTATCAGCGAGGTTTTTGAATTCAAACCTGTTCCAAAATTTAAAAACAAACCAATTATTCGTTATTCAACGTGCTTTTTCAATTCCGCTTATCGATTCCTGACTCCATCACGATGCAGCGGACGGGAGTGTCAGAAAAAGACAGTATGGATTCAATGAAATGAAAATGATTTCATGCAGGAGGAAGTCTGTAGCGTGCTTCCTGAATATTCATTCACAGTTTTGTCTTTGAGTTGAGGTTTAATTTTCCCCAGTGATTCAAAAGATGTCGTGCTCATTGACGGCTGTTGTTTTGGAAAAACATTAAAAAGTTCCACGGAAATGGACACAAGACGACAAGTGAACTCCCGTGCTAGCGGCTCTACTCGGGCACAGTGTGGTGCTTTGAGCTAAATGCTAATGTTTACCATGTTCATCATCCTAGTTCTGCATGTTAGCATGCTAACATTTGCTAGCGGAGACTGATGGGGATGTCATTAGTTTTGCAGGCATTCGTTCAGGTTTGGTGTGAACGCACCTTAAGTCACCAAAGTCAGAAGGGTTCATCCTCTGGGAATCACGAATGTCCGTACAAAATGGCCGACAGACAGACATTGCTATCCCTTGCCGCTGGCGTGGCTGAAGAAACTCCTGACTTGGGAAAGACACTAAAAGCGTGAACCGCTCCTAACAACTACCACTGCAGCTTCTACGTGGAGGCAGCAGAATAACAGCCGCGCTCAAAGAGGAATCAGCTGACACAAGAACACAACCTCAGGCAACAATGAATGAAAAAGCCAAATGGACAGTCTGTCTAATTGTAACGTCATGTTTAGAATGCTTCAAAATCAGTTTACCTTTTGCACGTCCAACCTCAGCAAAAACAAATGTAAAACTGCAAACAATAAAGTTATAAAAGAATATTTAGTTTTTTCTTTATTTCACCTTTTAATCACAAATTGGCAGGTTTATGGCAGGCAGCCCAAAATATGCTAAAAAAAACAAACATAGGTGGTGTTTGCTCCAGACACAATTTGGTTACTTAAATAACATGTCAGGAATCTGACAAAGATTTTAATGAGCGCCGCGATAAGCACAATCAAAATTAAGAAAAAGAGGAAAAAAAATCTGAATCTTGACAAAGGACATGCGTCCTCCGCACCAGAGACACCCAGTGAATGGTGGGGAGCCGTTTCTGCAGAGCTCAGATCAGACAATAACGCCCCTTGTGTCTCTTGTCGGGCGGCTCACGATGAACTGTATGTGCAAATTCTTGCAAGAGGCCATTGAGGTGCAACAGGGATGAAGATACAGTATATGTGATGCTACACCATGAGCGTGTGTTTTACGTGAGTGTATGTGTGTGTGTGTGTGGAGCCATTTTAACGTTCGGAATGTGCAAGAGTGTGTTTGTTCAATGCCATTTGTCCACACACACACACACATCGGTATTATTCAGACCCGTGAACTGGGATCAGTCGGCTGAAATGTACAGCTCGCAGCCTCTCTGTGCTCCACTCGGGTCAGCCGCCTCCAAAAAGGTCACGCTGGACCCAAAAAATGCTTCCGCCAGCTTGCTTTTCAGAGACAAACGAGGAAACTCTTATCACACGAAATAAAAAGACATTGAGATCTTCAAGTTCCCTAAAACAGCAGACATTCATTTTTTTTGTTTTTTAGCTGTGGTTGCTATATACAATAGAAGGATCTTCATATATTAATATTCTTCATCTTTCCCGTCTGTTGTTCTTCGCTTCCTTGCCGTGAAGTCATTGTTCCCATACACGTTTGTCCTTTTTATGTATTTATAGAGTATTTCCAGTATTTACATTATAAATAACTACACAGTCTTGTGATAAAATAAATAACTTAAATACAATGGCCGTGGCTTTTGCTGTGTCTTTCGAATGAGGGGGAGATCGGGAGGGATCGGACGACGCTGCTCGCTCCTTGTTGCTTCAGGGCAGCAGACGGGTTAGGATATCTGTGTGTTGGATGCCGTCTTTCTGGGGGGGGGGGGGGCTTAAACTTCCACTGTGGCACGAGGTGGGAAACTCTCCCTGAAGTACACTGTGGCTCCGTTCTACTGCTGTTCACCATATCTACAACATCAGGAATCAGACATGCTTATAATCTGTGATTCTTGGTTTAATTATCAATTAAGTGGGATTGGTTTTACACTCTCAGAATGTTACTTTTTTTCTTATTGTTTCTGTTGCTATTTTCACCGTGTAAAGTGCCTCTTAGTACCTTTAAAAGCACTATAGAAATAAAATGTATTATTATTATTATCAAAGTTTCATCGTGGTCAGAATACTGACTGGTGAAACTAACCTAACTATGAGTACAACCTACATGTTTCCTTTGAGTTTCATACTGGACAGGGTGGAGCTGAAGGATGGAGACTCCACCTGTTTAATCAGGACACCATTTCATTATTTTTAGTCTGGCGTTTTGGCTGTTTTTGGCTTAGAAAATAAATCATCTTTGTATTTGATGAACAAATGATTGTGCGGAATAGTAGTAGAATCTGTGGATCTTAATGTTGCTAACAAGAGGAATGACTCATTACAATCTGTAACAAAATAGTTCCTATGTGGGGCAGATACGTTTTAAATACATGATATGGCCAAAGGTATGTGTACACATGAACGTCACACCTATAAGTGATAGTTGGACATCTCATTCCAAAACCATGAGCATTACTCTGCTGCTATAATCAGCCTCCACTTTCTTAGATTCTATAACCACGCTGCAGGGATTCAGTTACAATAGTGCTACTGAGGTGAAAAAGTGATCAGGTCTGGAGTGTTAAATGGCGTTGAGGTCTGTGCAGGTCAGTCAAGTTCTTCCACCACACACTGGTGGGAGAACCATTTCTTTAAGCACTTGTGAATGGGGCCATTTTCAAAAACAGGAAACCCCAAAATGCCAAGATGGAAAAACACTGTTGTTTAAAATTTAATTGTGTGCAGTAGTAGTTAAGATCACAGGAACAAAGGGGCGTTACCCAAACAATAAAAAAATCCAACACCAAATTGGTGTCCACATACTTTCGGCCATGTCACGCTACCTACCAGAACCTAGTCTAAGCAGAGCTAAAGGGCTAACTAGCTGATATGCCAGCTAGCATCTTTGCTTTGTTGTTCCCAAGACTGGCAGCTAACTTCTAAAGTCTACCTGAAGACTTCATAAATCTGACGTGATGTTAGTTTTGGTGATTCAGGAAGTGTTTCCCACCGAGCTGGCCGCCGTGAGAGTGCAATCAGCAGGGATCATGGTTTGGGTCGTACAGAGGGTCATACTGACGGTGTAATACTGCAGTGGTAGGAAGGGTACGGCCCCTGGTTGTTGGCCCCTAATTTGACATACTTGAGGATCAGTGGAAAGGATGGGGGTGGTGGCGGGGGGGGGGGGGGGGGTGGAGTGCAAAGCTTCTCCTACAGCTATACCACCGTGCCGCTCGGAGAGTTCCCGTTCTGTGCTGTCGGGTTCTGATCAGAGAGACAAAACATGAAGGAAAGTTAGACACTGATGACAATCAGTGAAGAAAGATACAAAAAGACACTGCTGTTCAGGAGAAGAGAGGTGAAACCATCCCAACTGTTGAGTCATTCCCTGCGCTCTGAAATATCCTCCACATAAAACATCTACTCAAAACAAATCTGACCTGCAATGAAAAAAAAACTTGTTTGCAGAATATCACTGAAATTCTGAACTTTAAAATCATATCATATCATATATTGAGGCCGGCCAGCAGTCTTAATATGTTTTCAGGCGAGAAAATAACCATTTATATTCCAAATATGTGGTCAATTTATCCAAATAACTAAATAATCCCTTTTAGTGAATTTGCTGCGATCGTTTTCAGAAATGTGACAGAGCTGCTGTTGGGTTGCCTTGAAACCGTGCCGTCGCTTGAGCCTACTTCAGTGTCTGCTGGTTAAATTATACTTAATCGTTAATTTAGTAGACAGTATGAAACACATACTGACTATGTAGTGTGCAGTACGTTCGTATGCGATTTCGAACACGGTTTGTGCTTTTGGCCGCAGAGCAGCATGCAATAAAAGGTGTTTTGAGAAAGTGTGTGTCACCGCAACCACGAGAGGTCCTTGAGCATAGAGCCATAACTGAGTAACTCTGCAGTTTGGGGCGGCAGTATGTGAGATTAGCTGCGACCAGACACAGAGGTCACTCACCCACAAACTCACCTACACATACGACCGATCTCATTGTCTCTACATCATCATGTTTCCCTATTAACTGACATTTCATCGACTAAACAATAAATCAACAAATATTGAAAAAAAGATGGTCGGAGACTTACCGCCTTCCCCGGCCGCGCCCAGGTGCATATGAGACCCTCTTGGCAGGCTGTGATGATGCAGTCGTCCATGAACACCAGGACGGTCAGCCTCTCATGTGCAATCTTCTTGCACACCAGCGGCTCCAACAGCGGCACCTCGTACATGCGCGGGCACAGCGTGGTGCCCAGGACCTTGGCGGCGTCCAGCCGGTTGCTCCTCGGCGCCACGTTGATCTTGTCGTTGCTCTTGCTGATGTTGCCCAGGCTGTGGTACCTCTTGTGCTCCTTCTCCACCCCACTGCTGCAGCCGGACTTGTCTGACTTGCGCTCCTGGAGTGACAGCGTGGCGAAGCGACCGATGCTGAACGGCGTGCTGTTCCCTCCGACAGCGCTCCCTCCACCTCCTCCGCCTCCCCCGCTGCCCTCCGTGGCACTTTGGCCCTTGGAGGCGTTCGCCACGGCAGGGTGGGGCAAAGAGTTGGAGCGGGAGAGGGAGCGAGGAAGCGGTAAGGGGAGCGTTGGTGGGTTGTCCGCGCCGGTGTTAGGCGGGTGGTGGTGCCCCTCAACCGTTCCACTTCCTCCGACAACTGAGGTGCTGTTGACCCCTCCGCTGCCAGAGTTGGACAGCGATGGTCCAAAAGTGTTAGTGAAGGCGCGGGACAGCGGCAGGCGTGGGTATAACACGTCATCCGTCAAGTCCCACAGACAGAACTGGGTGTCTTGCCCCACCGAGCCAAAACGGTATGTGACCGACGACGAACCGCCACCTTTAGAGCTGTGGCGAGAAAGACGCGACAACGTGCTGCTTGTTCGGACCCGGCCAAAGTGCGTGGAGTTATTTGGCGCCCCCTGGTGGAGGTCCTCCTCGCTGCCGCTTAGCTCCATAGGCTCCTCATCTTCCAGGGAAGTCGTGAAGGGGTCGAACGCCACCACGTTGACCCAGGACTTGTGGCCGTGACCTCTTGCGACCACGCGGCTCTCTGCGAACGACCAGACGGTAACCAGGTCGTCCTCTCCGCCCGTGGCGAGATACTTCCCGTCGGGGCTCCACGACACGCACAGCAGCCCGCCAAAGTAGCTCTTCATCACCCCCTGCAGCTCCATCGAGTCAAAGTGAAAGACGCGCAGGCAGCCGTCCTGGCCCACGCACGCCACATGCACGCCGTCCGGGGAGAACGCAAACTCGTTGAGGCCCCCGTCGCCCACGGCCCACCGCAGCAATGGGTTGCGCGGCGTCTTGGTCTTGCAGGCGTAGACGCCGAAGCCCTCTCCCTGCCGCAGCAGAGAGTACTGCGGGGCCGCAGTGCCGCACGGGTGGTCCACGTTGTAGAGGTAGAGGTGGCCACTGGCATGGGAGGCCAGGAACAGGTTCTCGGACTTAGGGAGCCATTTGAGACACGTCACCTTGGATTTGTCTATCAACCTCTGGAAAACAGGAAGGAGGTGGAGGAAGGAGAGATTGCAAGGAAAATTGGGCGAGACGGAACGATGGAAGAGGAGATGGGATGAGGAATGGCGGAATGGGAAGAGATGCGTAAAAATGACGGTGTTAGAAATACTTCGATTTGATTGGGCTTTTATGTTGACACTATGTATAAAGCATTGAGAGAAGCATAAGCAGCAATTAAGAAACAAGCTGCAGCAGAGACAGAAAACCAGAGGGGGGGAAGACGAGGAAAGAAAAACAGCAAATCCCACGGAGGTGAACAGATTCGGGAGACACCCAAACAGAAAGTCTGCCTGCATGCAGTCGTACACACACACATCCCTAATCTCCTAAATTTAATTGGGAAACCCATTAAAGAGAATCCCATTAAAAACAGTAAGAGGCAGTTCAGGAGACGCAGTAAAAGAATATGAAAGGGACAACTCTGAAGTCATCGCAGCATCCAAACTACAACAAAGAAAATCAATACAAAGAAGACAAATTACTTCCTTTGTATCGTAGTGAACTTTAATGATTGGGACGACAAACACAGCTGCGAACTCCCTTGCGACTTGAACAACAGAGAGGGAAAACAGGCAAATACAGTACCTCCTCATTGAAGAGTTTACTTGTTTCCTTCTTAATGGGGTCGAGGTACTGGACCTGTCCGGCCGAGAAACCCACGATGAGGGCTACGCTCTCCGCCGTGGCGGAGTACTGGTTGAAGTCATGACATGTCGGCTGAGTCCCTTTGTAGATCCTCTTGTCTATCGGCTTACTGAGGTCTACAGCCTGCAGATGAGAGGGAAAGTAGAATAAAGAGAGCCATGATGCAGAGTGAAGGTTCACAACAGGTTCAGGGACATTAAGGGGTCTTTCAAAAAGGGGTTCATCTGTTCCACAGTTACAAACATCTGCTGACAATGTATCTTACATTCATGGGCCCATTTGTCATTTGTTAATTTCTATTTCTACAGACGATCGCCAAGCGTGAATGAGACAAAAGTACCTTTGAGATATTTCTATGGCAGCTACAGCAGAATCACATTCTTCTATGCTGAACATCAGGTTTTGGCTTCAGAACGAAGGTGCAAAGGATTTGTTCCAACAACGACATTCAACAACCAAACAGGGGAAATAAAATCCCGTAAGCAAGATTCAGAGACGCTGACGTTTCTTTCCACCTCTAAAGACCAGGAAGCAACATGGCTGCAGGAGTATTTCCAGACTGGAAAACACTCACGCTATTCAGAATGACTTTAGCAAGCCCTCAGAGATCAGCCTTTCAGTGGGCTGTGGCTGGTCACACCTGATCTCTGAGGGCTTGCTAAAGTCATTCTGAATTACACTGCAGTCCTTGCTGTCAAGAACTAAATATACGCCGTATCTGTAAATGTAGGTATCGGCACATACCTTGAGTTTAGGTATTGGAGTCAGACACAGGACAGGAAAAACACATCGGTGCATTCCTGCTGTAAAACGCATACCGTGGCCGAAACAGAGTACCGATCCAATCCGATGTTTAATTGACAAGCTGAATGCCTCAATGTGTGAACGTGAGAGGGATCATTCTTTTTATGTGTAAGTCAACATCGGGCCGGACTTAAATTTTGTAAAATAAAATGTAACAAGTTAATAAATAGATATGAATTTACTGAATTGTTTCCTATTAATTAAATAATAAATTGTGCAGCAGCAACCTGGTGAAACATCTTGAAAATGTACAGGATTTACAATTAATGGAGCAACAAAATGATCAATACTTAAACAGGAATTAAAATTCCACTATATAATGTATATAAAATAGAGTAGAATTGAATCGAATAAATCGGCCCCATTGTCACCAACACCTGACCCAGCAACTTGAGTCGGCCCAATATTGGTCTCGCTGCATCTCTTTAAAAACAAAGTTTGAAAACAACATCTCCTCTCAAGGTTCTTTGACATTAAACTCACAACATTTTGAGGATGCGGAGTACAAATGATGTGCCGCTGCCTGAAATCTGGCTATATGCATCTTCAGTCTGTTGCAGCATGTGAATGTTGCAGCATGTGACTTCCTGCAGAAACCATGTGAGACAAACCAAAGACACAAAAAGACACAAATTCCTGGCAAATTAACTCCATTTATTGTGAAATAAATGAATCTCACACGGTGTGCAGTGAAAGAGAGGCCATGGCTTTTTAAATAGGTAGTCTGTTACAAACAGTTCCCCTTGTTGATCCATGTATATGTAGGGGGAGGGGACTTTCACACTAGATCCTGACTCTTGATGTACACTACCATTCAGATGTTATGAATCAGCTGTTACATGTTTTCTTCTTTCCTTCAATAAAAACTATTTCAGCAGTGAAAAAAACAGTATAATTCAGACACCAAATGTTTTATTTACCTTTGAAATAGTTTTAAAGAGTAAAATGATTCAAACTTCCATCTAGCTGACGTCCCCTCAGTGTTACATGACGGGAGAGAATACTGTTGAACTTGGATGTAGTCTTCAGTGATCCTCCATCTTTACTGAACTGGGCTCTAAATATTGAGTGGGTGAGTCTTTCTTTGGGCCCTCTGCAGTCTACTCAGTGGTTAGATTGAAGAGCTTTGAACTGGGATTAGTTCAGCTGATGTTCAACAGTGCTAACTCTAGACTAACCTTCTGGTTCTACTGTGAAGTTTGAAGAAGAGCTTTGATAAAGCAACACCTTGCCTGTTGATATTCCAGCTTGTTATGAGCTGAGCGACTGTGGCTAAGTGGAGAGCAGGGCCGTCCTTCAATCAGAGGATCGGCGGTTTGATCCCCGGCTCCGCTAGTCGCATGTCGATGTGTCCTTGAGCGAGACACTTAACCCCAAATTGCTCCTGTAGCTGTGCCTACGGTGTGATAGGATCTGAATTGTAAGTTGCTTTGGATAAAAGCGTCTGCTAAATCACTGTAATGTTATAAACACTGAAACAGGAAGCTGTTCCTGTTTTAAATCTGCTCACATTTTGATGTTAAGCTTCCAGTTTGTTTCTCCAATGACTGATTTATTCTGTTCTTATTCAGCTGCTGCTCAGAGGATCTTTGTCTCTTTCTGTTGTCAGTCTGACTGAACCATTGTTCAGAGTTTTGTTCTCCAAAACAAAACCACATCTATCAGTAAAGAGGACTTTCTACAAGATAAAAGCATGAAAGACCATTCAGACATATAGAGTGGTCCTCTCAGACATCTGACTGGACACAATCGAGCTTTGGGAGCAGGAGATTAACAACTTCTGATCGGCAGTGTACATCATCTACTCTTTGAGCGGACAGGGAGACAGTGTATATATCAACAGTGTCTCTGTAATCCATCTGCTGGGAACTGATTAGTCTTGTAATGTCTCTCTTCAGCATCAGTGCATTTACTCCAAACAGAAACTGTGGGATTTTAGGGGGCCAGTGGCAGAAGACGTATTCAGATATTTTGCTGAAGTACAAGTACTAATACACCACACTGTGAAAATACTACAAGAAAGAAGCTGTTCATATGAACATTCAGAATGCAGTAGAGAATAAACAGCCTTTATGAATGGAGTTAGAGGCTTCCAGTGTATTTCGTGCTGCATCCGTCTGCATGATGCACCATTCACTGTCCATTCACAAATAAATGATCACGTCGCATTACATGACAAGTAAAGGTTTAATATGTGCATGGTTGCATACACTGTGCAGCACGAGCAGTTAAACAAGAGCCTCGGTTTTAAAAGAGATGATGAAAAAAAGAGCTAACAGCAGAGCAGGCTAGCATGCTAAGCTAACCTTGACCATCCGATCTGTCATTCTGGCTGTAAGGCTGTAACAGAGGAGGAGGAGGAGGAGGAGGTGGATAACGGGCTCACCTTCTTGATGTTGGTGTACGTGTAGAAATACAGCTCCCTGCCGATGTTGAAGCACACCCGCTCCGACTCCTCGCCCGGGTCTTCGGGCTGCAGCTTGACCATCGAGACCCGGACCGGCGGCAGGAAGCCCGCTGGGGAGGAGTTGGCCGCGGCGTTGGACGAAGAGGAGGCAGCGGCCGTGGCAGCACCGGGCCCCTGCAGCAGCCCGACCCCTCCGCCCGGTATCGCACCGGGTCCAGCCCCAGGGCCCAGCGTGGCTCCGGAGGAAGGACCCCGCGCCAGCCCGCCCCGCTGCTGCGAGTCGGAGAGGGTGAGCAGTTTGTAGAAACCCTCTCTGGTCCGGAACTGGGATTTAATCTCATTGATATCCTTCAGAGCGCCGCCATCTCCGGCCATTTTTAGTACAAACAAGCCGCACAGGAAACTGAGATTGTGACCTGGAAATAATCGCTACAATATTTTTTTTTAAAGTAGCCTACTAGAATAAAAACGGGAGAGGCGAAGCCGAGCAACCGAGATCAGCTAGGCTTGACCAGCACACCCGGTCTGCGCCAGTGCATTTTACACCGGTACCAGCGACCATATCGCTGCTCCCTGGTAAACGAACCCGGAGAGGAAGCCCTTCTGAGCCGGTGTAAGCATCATCCTCGACCGGGTCTCTGCCTCCGTTCATCCAGTGTGCGTAAAGAACGTGTGATGAGGCATCGACTGCTGCTACTGGCCCGGGCCTGGCACTGCGCAGCCTCCCACTGTGTGTGCGTGTGTGTGCGTGTGTGGGGGCGGGGGGTCGAAAGCATCCGGCCATGGACAGGGTTCATTTACCCCTCATTTAACCTCTATTAACACCCAACAGCACCACCTTTAAGATATGTTGTCTCAGACAAAAACAGCAACATGATGTTGGTAACTAACCTGTAGTTCCAGTGAAAACCACGTATCTCCAGATGTGAGGATGTTTAATGTTTTTGATAACCTCAAGAATTCTTCAGCATCCTTAATGTATTGAGAACATTCTTCTACTTCTTAAATACATTATTTTTAAAATCCTCTTGGGTCAGCTGGAAAATGCATGTTGCAAAGTTGAAATAGTAGTAGTTACTCGGATGTAACTCCAGTTCTAAGAGGCGCGTACAGTGCCCTCTAATGGGCTTTGCTATAGAGTGGTGCAGGGGTGAGGAATTTTGTAGGCTGACCGCGATAGTTAGCATCGCACTGGTTGCCTTATTAGCAGATTGATAGGGATGCTGATGCTACCTGAAAAGGACAAAAAGCCTCCGGACCCCCACCGTGGGCCAAGCTGCAAGTGGCACCTATGGTTCGGCCACTGTTGATGGCTAATGCCTGGGCAAGTCCGGAGGAGCGAGACACCCTGAGCGATGCCGGCGTAACATCGGGCGTACAAGCTAGCCGTTGTACGCGACGGCTTGTACAGGTGGGACAAACCCTAAACTGGGCGTTGAGTAAAAATTATCTTTTTCAGGGCGCCCAGGCCGTGCCTCGGAGAGTAAACCAATAGCGAGTTCAAATAGAACAGTGTTTCTCATGACAAGTGGATTTAGAGATACGTGGTTCTCACAGGACAACAACGCTACAAACTGACTATTTTACTGCAAAATAAGTTTATCTGGTTGATTTTTGGATCTTCTCCAAAACCAAAAACTTTGTATCTCTGGAAATAATGATAAGAATGTCACCGATAATGGACTGAATGTTCACAGTTATTGTGTACAATAAAGCAAATATTTCTATCAATACCTTTGTCCATATCTTAAATGTATAAACTTAAACACACATGAGACTCAATATTTAGTTCAATAATGATGGAGGCGGGTCACTGAAAACAAATTCTACATCCAATTCAACAGTATTCTCCCATCATGCAACACTGAGGGGACGTCCACTAAATGGAAGTTTGAATCATTTCATTCTTCAAAACTATTTCAAATGTGAATGAAACATTTGGTGTCTAAATTATGCAGTTTTTTAAATAGTTGTGTTAAAGGAAAGAAGAAAAACATAACAGCTGATTGCAAATTTTTCAACGGTAGTGTACACGCCTGGAAGTAGACCAATCCCCCAAAACGTCATTTATACGTACCAAAGACTGTTAACTAACCATAAAAGTAGGTTATTTGACTTTTAACTTTAGCCTCTACTGGTAACCAGGCCACTTCAAACAGACAAATACAATGGGGCAGTGTAAACACAATGGGTATAATGTTCACGCTTTATTAACACTTAACGCTCCAAGATCAGTACAGCTCACCTCATGTTGTGTTCTTTGACTTTATTACAATGTAACGGCAGTGAGAAGTGTGCATCTTGAACGCTGGCATACAAACTACACAGCAAGAGTCCATCCACGCATTTGCTGGAAGACATCCACAATATTTCAGTCCCTGCAGGAGAAAGCAGATACTCCTCTTTAGTGTTAGAGGAGGACCTTCCTTCTCTGTTCATTTTAGGGTTTTCTCAGCTGTCTGGATTCTGGAAGTTGTTCTGGATCACACAAATCAGCATAAATAAGAGCAGACTCCCTCAGATTGAAGGCCTCAACACAACTTTCCTCTTTGGTCAGTTTGAATTTCGCAACATCCTGCCATCATTTAACCCTCTTACATATCTCCTCTCCTAAAATACTTTGGCATCCACGCCTGTCAGAGATAATGATGACAGATGAAAATCCTGCGTGGGGGCATTCATATACGAGTGGGAGTTTCCCCATGATGCCCCCACGCCAGCAGACGGGAGAGTCAAGGCAGCATGACATAGTTCTCGGCAATTTCCAGGACGTACAGGTTGGACATTCCCGACTGGTCCTCGGTCTGATGCGTCTCCAGGACGACCATCCTGCAGTGAGAAGGTCAGGGAGGTCAGAGGAGGTCAGAGGAGGTCGAGCAACGGATACAGAGAAGTTTAAACCCGCATAAACTCAGTGGACAATCTCAATGTAAGTCGTGAATGGATAGGGTCGCATATGTTCATGCAAATCCAGAATATATTGTGATATTCAGATATCGGTTTGGTCCAGATGGAAATATCAATGACTATTTGATGGAAGTCCATGAGATTTTGTGTAAAAATTCTCTGTTACAAGTAAGAGTGAATGGTTTCATCAATGGCCAATGTTCCATAAGGAATACAAAGGCCTAAGAAAGTAGTAACAAGTAAAAGTCCTGCATTGGTACTCAAGTAAAAGTATCAGCATCAAAATATTCTAAAAGTATGAAGAGTAAAAGTACTTATTATGCAATATGGCCAATTTCAAAATCATATATTTTATTACTGAGTTATAACTAGTGATACATTAATGTCTTCATCACTTTAAGCTGGTAAAGGTAGAACTTATTTTAACTATTTAAATACTGTTGGGTAGATATTTATATAATATCACATCATCATTTACAGTTGATTTGTATTTTCTAGTAATAATCAGAATCTGCAAAGTAACTAACATTATCCAACAAATGTAGCGGAGTAAAAAGTACAATCAGAGTAGTAACGGAGTAGTAAAGTATAAAGTAGCATAACATGGAAGTAAAGGTACCTCAAAATTGTTCTTTAGTACTTAAGTAGCTATATCTGGTTACTTCCCACCACTGTATTTAGCAAATGCTAGCATGCTAAAACGCCAAACTACGATTGTGAACATGATAAACATTACACCTGCGTAACATTGGCATGTTAGCATGCCGATGTTAGCATTTAGCTTCTGTGCCTAACTAAAGCATCACAGAGCTGCTAGCATGACTGTAGACTCTTATTGTTGGATCTTGGGGAAAAACATATCAGACTGAAGAGTGAAGAGTTTTAAATTCCCTAATTGTTTGAGATAAACAAATAAAAGAGCTCCAACTGAAGAAACGAACTAAAACAAAATGAAGCGACCGCACACGAACACCACGGCAGGGAGTGAAGACATGGCAGACCTGTCGGACTGCACCAGTCTGTAGATCTTTCTGTGGTCGGTGGTTTCCTCCAGCACCTCAGTGAAACCTTGTCCTCTCCTCTGCCAGCCGTGACGCCACACTGCCAGCAGCGTGTCCTCATAATACACTGGACAGACACACACAGAGTCAATGCTGAGCTTCAATCACCTACAATATAAACTGTCACTGGTCAGTGGTGGTGGAGGAAGTATTCAGACCCTTTATTGAAGTATAAGTACTAATACCACATTGTGGAAATACTCTACAACTAAAAGTCCTGTATTCAAAACATTACTTAAGTAAAAGTATGTACCAGCAAAATGTACTGATAGTGCAGTAAAATGTTCCCTGTCAGTGTTTTACTGTTATATATGATGCTTCTGGATTGATATCACGGCTGCATTAATGTGTATGTTAGTTTAATCTACATCAATACATCATATTCTATTAGATCATCATATGTTTGTAGCGTCCCGTCACGTATCTCTAAACAGATCAACAGTCCTGTTTTCAGCTTTGTGACGATGCATTTTCCAGCTGATCCAAGAGGCTTTTTAAAGAGTTTATTTAGATGAAGAGGTAGGAGGATTATTCTCAACACATAAAGGAACACTTCATCCTTCAGTTTATCACAAACACTCAGCATCAACATCAACATCTGGAGATACTGGCTTTTCACTGGACAGGACGGGGATGAAAAACTGTCATCTGAAAAGTAACTTAAGTACAATATTTACCTCTGAGATGTAGTGGAGTAGAAGTATGAAGTAGCATTAAATGGAAATACTGAAAGTACCTTGAATTTGTACTTCAGTACAGCACTTGACTGGTACGGTTCAGTCACTGGATGTTCTCACCTATAGACTCGATAGCATGAGAGAAGGTGGTGTCTCGTGTCGGAGGCCTGTTGCTCTTCAGCTCCCCCTTCAGACCGACTATATGCACCGACTCTGTGGAGGAGAGAGGGTTTGTGTTGGAATGGCACAGACAGTCGCAGTAGAACTAGACGGAACATAATGTAGAGTATCATCACAACTATGGGCAGTTGTTTTAGTTGTAGTTTCGACATCTTCACCCTAAACCCTGAGACTAAACCCTGAATCCCTAGACAGTGTTAAGTTGCCTGTTGAAGAAAAACATCCTTTTCACCTTGTTACCTATTTGTCCATATCACATCATACACCTATTATGGAAAAAATACCAACAGAATTACATTTTTGGGGGTATTTTCCATTATCAAGTTCTTATTTCTCTCTTGTAAAATTGCAATATTTTGTAATTATTCGTACAAGCTTCCAGTTATTTGTTGTGGACAGGTGTCCAGTTATTGCAAAGGGAATGAACTGAATGCAAACTGAAACATAATAAATGTATATACATAATGATAAGTTATACTATATATACTGTGTATATATATATATATATATATATATATATATATATACAGTTATGTGGACAGGAAGTAAAACAGTAAGTAAAGTATATAAAGGTAAAGTTACAAGAAGCTGCTGCAGAAATTCAACCCAGTAATATCACAATAGATACAATAATACCATGATATAACAGATACATACAGATATTTGTGTTATTTATCTGAAAAATATTCTGTATCGTAAATACTTAAGATATTAATGGCAAACTTTAAAGTAATGACTTACTTTCTATGAGGACGAGCAGTGAGCTACTGCTTAACTGGTTTACTTGAACTACATCTGGGCAAGGTCTCTCTGTAAGAACACACACACACACACACACACACACATTCTTTATTATCATTTTGTCTTGAATAATATGATGGAAAAAGGAATACTAATACAATAAATTAACTAATATTTATATTTTCATCAAGATCTTGACAACTTTCTTCTTTGCTAACTTATGTTTTGAAGAACTCTGATTTTGGCGCCAACAACTGATGTTTAACTCAACAAATGAAATTATTCCTGGCACCTAGAAATGTTTACGTAGCTAAAAGACAGAGATTAGATGATGGTAGATTATGAAAGAATAATAGCCTTACAGCCAACACACTGAGGTAAAAAGAGACATTTAAAGGATTCATTAAATGCAGGACATTTGTTGCTTTTCTGAGTTTTTATAATGGACGTAATAATGCAGCTTCAACCTACCCAGGCCAGAGTTGGTGAACCAGGATGTGTTGGAGTTGAGGTTGATGTATTCTACAATGACGGGCATGTTGGGGCTGGATCCCAGAGAGACGCCGATGCACACCAGCGGGTACTCCTGCTGGGGCACCGTCACCATCTCGAACACCCGCAGAGGGTTGGGCAGGGGGAAGTCAAAATTCTGCGTGCATGAGAGAGGAACGGCGAGGATTTAATTTTCTTTTAAGTATCTTTTTGTGGTTTTACATCTCATGCAGGGCAGCAAGCAAAGCAGACAGGTTAAGTGTTTTGTTCAAGGGCACTAAGACCTGCAGTCTTTTAGCCACAGCATGGTGCAGATCAGAGGGCCTGTTCTCAAAACCATAACCATTATATGGTCAAAGGTCGATAGCTAACTCTTAAATTTAATAGTGACCATAACATGCTTTATTCCCCTGCCAGCAGTCGTTTTATTAGCCGCGGTCAGTGTTAACAGCCCAATAAAAATAGTGAAAACTAAGAGAGAAAGATAGGCTCAGGGTATCACACAATGCATCATATCACCTTGCACATATCATTGTTGTATTTTTCATAATGAATTCACAGGTTTTACTTCAAAACATTTTGAACTTTACAGGAAGAAAAAAGACTGAGACTGTGATCGTACGGTGAAGCTGAGAGGTCAACGTGCTGCAAATACAAAAGAATACAATAAAATACCGTAAAAACACAACCAAATACCGTAAAAACACAACCAACTACAGAAAAACACAACCAAATACAGAAAACACACATAAATACAGAAAAACACAAACAAACAAGAAGAAGCACCACACGGTTAATTTATTTTAATGGCTGGACCTTTATGATACTCTAATATTACAAATTAGTAGTGAGATCAGTGGTGCAAGACGTAGCAATAAAAATACTCAATTGCAAACAAAAGTCCTGCATTCAAAATTCCACTGACGTAAAAGTAAAAAGTGATTGGCATCAAAATGTACTTAAAGTACCAAAAGTAAAAGTAGTGGATTGAAAAATAAAAATTTTCAGAGGTGTGGACTCCAAGTCACATGACTTGGACTCGAGTCACAAATTTGATGGATTTAGACTCGACTTGATAAAAAATCAAAAAAGACTTGTGACTTCACTTGGACTTGAGACTTTTGACTTTAAAATACTTGTTAGCCCCCCCCACGCCCAAAGATCAAAAAATATGTTGTTTAAAAAATTTGCCAGGATCAATTACCTGAATTAACTAACGTTAACACAATTTATTCCCAGCAAGTCAACAAGTAACCCCCCAGATCCACTTTGTATGAAACAATCCGACAGAGAGAATCATGAGTAACTATTGTTACTCAAACTTGTGACTCGCAAAAACAAAGACTTGGTCCAACCTCTGCAATATTTCCCTCTGAGATGTGATGGAGTAGAAGTATGGAGTTGCATAAAACAGAAATACTTAAGTACAAATACCTCAAAATTGCTCTTAAGTACAATACTTGAGTAAATATATTTAGTTACTTTCCACCACTGAGTGAAATACAACCTGCGAACATTGAAAAGGCTCACGTTTTGTCTTTTCTTGGACTCTACAGAGATAACTCTGATGTCACAGAGTACAGAAGACATATTAATAATCCAAGGTTTAACACACGTACCTTAATGAGCATGAACTTGTGCATGGGCTCGTACCACTGCAGCAGGATTACACTGGACTCCAGACTACAGCACAGGAACACGCAGCCTCGCTGCACGTTATCTGCTGCAGGAGAATAGTTTTTGGTTGGCTCTCTCTCTGAAACCAATTGACACAATCTGAAGCACAGGAATCTGCCTCAATTATTCACCTCAACTGCAGAGGGCACCGGGCCCTTATTCTGAAACAGGCTTATATTAGAGACAAGACTTTATTTATTGCTCTGTATTTCGTCATAAATTAGTATGAAGCCTACTTCTTTTATGATCTGCTCCTGTTTTCCTCTATTTCTGTTTGTTACTTTTGCTGCTAATATCAGCTCAACACTTCCTGTAGACGTGTCAAATTAAAAGCCCTGTAGCATTTCAGTGGACAAAAATCCTTTCTTAAAAAGGATTTTATTGTAAAACATTTGCAGCATTATGTAGTGGGCAATTCAGTGACCTGCACGGTACTTCAGATGTAGCTACTGTCATCTGGTGGTGCTTGTACGTTACTACAAAATACAGTTTGGCTGGGACATTTACACATGTACATCCACAATGACTGAAACAGGACAGTAACAATTTAGATGAGTGATCAAGAAAGGCAAAGTGTTGAAAATAACATGATTGTATTGTTGAATTTATGTTTCCGCTGGTTACATGCATAGTGTCTTTTCAAAATAAACTTCCAACGTAGGTTTACTTAGTTTTTAGGCTCACTACTCGATCAGGCTTTGGAAAAGATTGTGGTTTGAGTTGAAAAAGTAGGCTCAATTTGTTATGTAAAATAAGTACGCTTGTTATGTGACTTGTGTCTGAAGCATTACTTAATGCTGGAGGAGGCGTCAGTAACGTACGTCACGTAACAAAAGTAAGGTAAAATAAGTCAATGTTGACTTGATTTCACATGGGACATGAATAGCGGTCTCCTAGGTGAAGGTCTGTGTTTGTTTGACCCATCCATCCACCCATCCTCTCCCTACATGGACTTTTATACCACATCAGTTGCTCTGACCTCTGAGTGATAGTTGAAAGCCCGGTGTGTCTCAAAAAAAACTAAAGGGTGCCTCGGTGTGCCGGTAACAGACGCCAAGGGGCCACTGACCAAGCTGATGTAATTGATGAGTTCTTTATTTGACAACCAGCCTTTATGTGAGAAAACACAGTTGTTTAAATCCTCAAAATAGCAAGCAGCTAATTTTCAAAAAGGGCTAATAACCATTTCAAGGGAAGCATCCTGTCTGATCTGATCACACACGCACTATTGCAGTGAAGAGAATTACCTAACGGCTAAATGTACAAATATGTAAAACAAAAACAAGTTGTCTTTGCACAGACAAACAATCAAACACAATTTCCATTGTTGCCATAATTCAGTATTTCATCTCACCGACTGAGCAGGTCTTGCAGCCTTTGGTGTCTGGTATTTTACACGTCACTGCACATTTCCTGAAGACAAAATATATCCTGTATGTATAATACATTTTTTAACTAGCATGAACAAATGTGGGGTTTTATTTTTTAGGGGGGGGTGGGTTTCATTTCTTATCCAACAAGAGAGAGATTCCCGTGTTACCTTGGTAACAGCCTGTGAGTCGACAAGGAAACCATCCTCTGGTCCCTGCGAGCCTGTTCGTACAACTCCTTCAGTGAATGGGAGTGGAGCTGTGAGGACTTACCTGTAAACACACGATCCAACACAGTGGAAGCGTGTTTGATCACAAGGTGGATGAACAAACAGACTCAGTCGCCTGACTTGGCATTAAATCCAAGTATGGTATTATAAAGACTATTATTATAATGAATAAAATATATATTTTTTAATGAACACTTTCCTCTTTGTGCTCTGAAAACTCTTGATGTCGGGCCCAATCCCTGATGTTTAGCTCGACAAATGAAATCTTTTTTGTTGTGTTTAAAACTACAATTTGTTGGTAGATTATGAAAGAATAAACATCTTAAAGCCAATACATTGAGGTAGAAAGAGAGTGAGAGAGATATCTAAAGAATGAACTAAAGTAATTCATTTTTTTTTTTTAAGTTAGCTATAGCTAAGTCAGTTAGCAGTTGCTTTAAGAGTTAAGGCAGAAAGAAATCCTTTGAGCAGTATTATTAAAACATGTCCGTTGCTTTGTTGGCAATATGTTCCTCAGTCATTTTTTACATGAAGCCTTCAGAGAACAGAGTTACACAAGTAAACGAGGATTTACCTGATACAGACATGAGGACGTTATTGATGGTGTAGACCCAGGTACACTTCCCCGGATACAGCTGAAAGACAGAAAGGAGACGTCCATCCGGTCACTGCTTCCTGTGTCTCTTTCAAAAGCACTTTGATTGATTTTCATGCTTTTTGTTGCAACATTTCTCTGATCAAGTGTAATTTATTACCTCATTAATCTGCCAGAGCAGCAGTGGAAGACTTAGGAGTGTCAGTGTTTTACTATTATGTATTTCTGGATTAATATCACTGCTGCATTAATGTGTATTTCACTGCTGTAGATGTTTTAACTCCTCTATCTACTGTTGGTTGGTTTAATCTGCATCAATGCATCGTATTCTATAAGATCATCATGTTTGTAGCGTCTCTGTCCTGTGAGAACCTCGTATCTCTAAACAGATCAACAATCCTGTTTTCAGCTTTGTGACGATGCATTTTCCAGCTGATCCAAGAGGCTTTTTAAAGAGTTTACTGAGATGAAGAAGTAGGAGGATTTTCTCAACACACAAAGTAACACTTCATCCTTCAGTATATAACAAACATTCAACGGTCGTCAACACATCTGGAGATACGTGGTTTTCACTGGAGAGGAGAGGGATGAAAAACAGTCATCTGAAAAGTAACTAAAGCTGTCAAAACTACAATTATCTAGAGATGTAGTGGAGTAGAAGTGTAAAGTAGCATGGAAATACACAAGTAAAAAACAAGTACTTCAAATGTGAACTTAATAAGTACCACACTTAAGTAACAAAAAGGAACAAAAGCTTGTCCACACATCATGACCAACAACTAAACCAGACCCCCTTTTTGCCAGTAATGTTGGGGCTCACCTTAATCTACTCACAGCCCACCTGTTGTTTACAGCCCATATTGTAAAACTCTGATGTCGCTCTGTGTATTAATTCGATAAAAGTCCTACCAGCTCCATTGTGGCTTCGGAGCCGCTCAGGTTAAGGGTGTAGATCCCTTCCTCTGCCCCCAGGATCAGGTGCTTGTCTGAAGGGGAGAGGAAACACAGGCTGGTCAGACGTGTAGAACAGAAGTCTGATTGGATGAGCGGGAGCGGAGGATTTACTGCGAGCTCTGTTGGATGGATGATACAACCTTTGGTAGCTTGGTTTTCCCACATCGTGGAGCAGTTTATTTTAAGAGGGCAGCCATTGAAGATCTTTTTAAAGTAGACCTGGAACAAATAATCACACACAGTATGAATACTTTTTATTGGTAAACGTCAATGAGGTTATCAGTTTTATGACTGACAGAGAGGCTGAGCATAAATGGAGAAAAGGCAAACTCCCGGGGGACCTTCTTAACTTCCAAGCTCTTCTTTCCACTTTTTCCACCACTCTATCTACTGCTAAAGCTGCTTTATTTCGCTCCAAAATCCTAACCTCTGCTTCCAATCCTAAAAGACTCTTCGAAACTTTCTCTTCACTCCTCCAACCCCCACCCCCTCCTCCTACTTCCTCCCTTCTCCCTGACAATTTCGCCAACTTCTTTGACAAGAAGGTAAACGATATCAGATCCTCCTTCTCTCAGCCCCCCTGTCCACTCTCTCCCTGTCCACCCTCTCCCTCTCTACCATCTCCAGCTCTTCCCCCACAGCTCTCCCTCCCCTCTCCATGCCCCATCTTACCCAATCTTGCTCCCCTCTCCCCTAACGAGGTCCTCAACCTTGTTACATCTAACCGCCCCACCACGTGCTCCCTCAACCCGATCCCCTCCCCTCTTCTTCAGTCTATTGCGAGTCTATTGCGACTGAACTCCTTCCTTTTCTCACCCACCTCATGTTGTTTCTCTTGTTTCAGGATGCTTTCCCACGGCTTTCAAGACTGCTAGAGTCACCCCCCTTCTGAAGAAACCATCACTTGACCCCTCTGATGTCAAGAACTTCAGACCGGTGTCTCTTCTACCCTTTCTTTCCAAAACACTTGAACGTGCTGTCTTTACTCAACTATCCTCCTATCTCCACCAAAACAACCTCTTGGACCCTCACCAGTCCGGGTTCAAAGTGGGTCACTCGACTGAGACAGCCCTCCTTGCGGTGACGGAGTCGCTTCACGCAGCGAGATCTAACTCTCTCTCCTCTGTCCTGATTCTCCTGGACCTGTCTGCGGCGTTTGACACTGTTAACCACCAGATCCTCCTATCCACCCTCGAGGGGATGGGCGTTTCAGGCTCTGCACTCTCCCTGTTTGCATCCTACCTGACAGGTCGATCCTCCCAGGTGTCATGGAGGGGCTCTGTGTCGGAACCACGCATGCTGACTACGGGGGTTCCACAAGGCTCAGTCCTGGGCCCCCTTCTCTTCTCGCTCTACACAACATCTCTGGGTTCTGTTATTCGCTCGCATGACTTCTCTTAGCATTGTTATGCCGATGACACCCAGCTGGTCTTGTCATTTCCCCCCGGGGACACTCAAGTGGAGGCACGCATCGCTGCGTGCTTGGCTGACATCTCGAAGTGGATGACGACACACCACCTCAAGCGCAACCTGGACAAAACCGAGCTACTGTTCCTCCCGGGGAAGGGTTGCCCGCACCGAGACCTGTCCATCACCATTGATGATACCGTGGACTGCGGTATCATCAACGCCAACTCGGACTGCGAGAAACCTGGGTGTGACCCTGGATGACCAACTGTCGTCCTCAGCAAACATTGCATCGGTTACACGCTCCTGCAGATTCCTGCTCTACAACATCAGGAGGATTCGCCCCTTCCTCACTGATGAGACGGCGCAGGTGCTAATCCAGGCTCTTGTCATCTCCCACCTGGACTACTGCAACTCACTACTTGCCGGAGCCCCGGCGTCGGCCATCAGACCTCTGGAGCTTGTCCAGAAAGCTGCAGCTCGCCTGGTGTTCAATCGCCTCAAGTTCTCCCACACAACTTGCCTTCTCCGTTCTCTACACTGGCTACCTGTAAGAGCCCGCATCCAGTTTAAGACTCTGGTGCTAGCCTACAGGGCAGTGAAAGGAACAGCTCCTTCCTATCTCCAGGCCATGGTCATGCCCTACACCCCGGCCCGACCACTTCGCTCTGCTGCCTCGGGGCGACTGGTTGCCCCGTCGCTCAGAGGTCCCTGCGGCCGATCGACCCGGTCGCGGCTGTTTTCTGTCCTGGCCCCTCAGTGGCGGAATGAACTCCCCACTGACGTCACGACGGCAGAGTCGCTGCCCATCTTTCGGCGCAGGCTGAAAACTCACCTCTTCAAGAAGGCCTACCCTTCCGCTTAGCACTTACTTAGCATCTATTGTATTCATACTAGCTTATTGCACTCATTGTTTTTATATTAGTTTGTGGCACTTATTGCATTCGTTTGTTTCTGCACTGTACGTTGGCTCTGGTTTATGCTCTTAGATGCTTGTTTGAGGAAAGGACATGCACTTATTACTTCTGGTGACTAGTTGTTCTCTCGAAAACCGATGTTGAATACACTTATTGTAAGTTGCTTTGGATAAAAGCGTCTGCTAAATGACTGTAATGTAATGTAATGTAATGACAAATGCCTTCAAAGGAGCGACATTTAGATATGTAATCTATGCACAGCACGCATATACTGAAACACATGTGATTATGTGTTACTTCTTCATATAGAAGCGTTTAGACAAAATAATAATAAATAGATAATAAACAAACAAATACATACATACATGCATAAATAAATAAGAAGAATATGAAAACTAAAAGAAGAACAGATATAAGTTATACAAGGACAACTAGAGTAAATAAATGACAAGGTAAAGGGACAGGAGTGTTATTAAAAGCAGCTTCTGTGTTTATCTAATCGGTGTACACCAGACTCATAAATGATATGATTAAATAATGGTACTTAGTGTTTGTCTGATTTAATTTAAAGATGTATTGGAAATATAATATAGATTCTGACATATATATAGAAGTTAAATAATAAGACAATATATTATAATATGGTAAATTATGATGTATTTATGTAAAATAGGATATGAGATATATCATATGGTAATACAAACAAAAATGTATGTTTGAAATGTAGTTAAACAGGTAACAAAGCATAAGTTATAATCATAATAATAATACTGAAATATTTAGGGTTGAAATGTAAAAAGTCAGAATTTTTCCAAACGCTATAAGCTCAACATAAACATAAGCCTGCTGGGTTTAAATGGTGGACAGTTTCTTTCCACACAGTGTAGGTGATTCAAAGGGAGAACTTCTGGAGAAGAAACAATAGAAACTCACGGGTGATTTCTTCACGATGGGGCTGACACACTCAGCAGGGTCCTGAGAACAAAAACCAAAAGCTCATCATGAGTTGGAAGGAGAGGAGATGCAGACTCCATCATCTACAGCCGGAGCTGGGGTTTAATCCCCGGCTCCTCCTAATTGTAGTGCAGTAAAAAGTACAGTATGGTATAAAGTGCCACGAAAAGAAAAGACTCAAGTAAAGTACAAGTACTTCAAATTTGTACATAAACACAGTGCTTGAATAAATGCACAGGCACTCTTAGGCACAGTGTTACCTTTGATGGAGGTTTCCGCCTGAGTCTGATTTTAGGGGGGAGCTGAGGAGGAAGGAGGTCTGCCGGGTTTTCAATCAACTGGACAGGTAAGGATAGAGGGTCTGGATCACACGCACACACACACACACACACACACACACACACACACACACACACACACATATAAATAAACAATAACACAATAAACCTTTTATTTCTCCACTCTTGTGTGAGTGAATGTGAGGATGATCTGGACGAACTAGAAAGGTGCACTCCGTAGAGGGCAGATCTCCGCCAGCTGTGTCATGTCAGACGTGTTTTCGCAATATAATCTATGCAGATTTCTGCACCGGCTCTGTGCAGGCATGCCTCTCAGCGTCGGAACCACGACCAAAGGCTACTTTTAAGGCAACTTTATGAAGGTTTAAAGTCTACTGAATAAACTACTTCTGGCCCAACTGTGTCTCTGGGCGCAGAGCAGCAGCTGGAGAGATGCACTCAGCTGTGACATAACTAGCAGCCCCTACTAGAGATCAGCTGTGGACAGGCACAGAGGTGCAAGAAGTACTCAGATCCTTCAGTGTAAGTACTAATACCACACTGTTAAAACGCTTGCATTCAAAACCTTATTTAAGTAAATGGGAGTATTATCAGCCAAATGTACTCTAAGCACTAACAGTAAAAGTACTTTCAATCCTTACGTTTATAAGAAAAATTGAAATTCTAAATCACCACATTTGGAGATACATGGTTTTTATTGGACAGGAAGGAGATACAAATGTGTGAGATGTAGTACAAAAATGTACAAAATAGCATGAAACGGTAATACTCAAGTAAAGTACAAGTACCTTAAATGTGTACTTAGTGACTTAGTTACACTCCACCACTGTAGAACATATATACAACAGAAATGCTCCTTTCTGCTGGGTGAAATTTAATTACATTTGTTTTCTTTTATTATTGTGAAAACAAACAAAGTTCCCCACTAAATTGTGTGTATCATATTTCATACTTCAGTCCATCAGTACATATAAAGGCGAGGCAGCTCACCTGAGAGTCGCGAGGGTCGTGGTTGGAGCGTTGGTCGAACCTGCGTCCCACTGGAGGTCCTGGTGCGAGTGAGGGGGGTGAGCGGCAAGCAGAGCTTCCTCACCCGCTCTTCCTCCCCCGCCATGCTTTCCTCTGAGCTGGTCCGGGTTTTAGGCTGCACACATGGAAACATACCGACATGTTGACCGTCTTCCTCTAACAGTGTAACCTGCCTCTCATCCGTAACTCGGTACAATGACGGAGCAGGAAGGGACTCGACGTGTTCCACGGAACTAAGCATGGGACCCACAATGCAACTGTGATGATGCTTGCACACTTTTACTTCAGTAAGGTGCAGAATGTTTACTTGTATTGGAGTATTTCACAGTGTGGTGTTAGTACTTTTACTTAAGTAAAGGATCTGAGTACTTTTTCCACTACTGTCTATTAGTAAGAAAAAACTTGTTAACACCTGATATCTAAAATGTTAGCCTTTACATGTAATCAAATCCAATGATCATGATATTAACAGGCAATAACCTTTTTAAGAACAAATCATTTCCGTGATGTTGTTCTGTGTAAATAATCAGGCTTTGGCTTTAAATACAGCCCCGTCACCGTAACACACACGCATAAAACCACGTCTCGCCTGCAGATTCAGTTATTTGTCAATAATCACCTTTGGCGGGAGTGGAGGTGGAGTTTCATTGGCTGGCATTATGCGACTGTCGGCAGAGAGAGCGTTGATTCAGTCTGGTGTGTTCATGGTACAAATACACATTAATACACACGTGAGTTTGTGTTTTATTCAGACTGACCTGGTGCCTGGTATCGTAGGGCTGAGGACAAAAGAAAGAGACAGATTGTTAATGCAATCTGTTTTAATTATATGAAGCAAAGAAAACTACATCAGGAAGTGACTGCTGGCTTTAACAACTTACAAAATAAGAACATTTTCAGTGGTGGAATGTAACTAAGTACATTTACTAGTAACTTCTGCACAGGTTTGAGCTACATGTACTTCTACTCCACGACTTTTAGGAGGCAAATATTGTACTTCTTACTCCACTATATGCATTTGATAACTTTTGTTACTTTGTAGCTTTAGATAACAATACAAAATATAAATCAGCTACTTAAATATGATGTTTTATTATAGATTAAACTAGCCAGCAGGATATGAGTAATTCAAATTATTTCCACCTTTAACTTTAAAGTGACGAACACATTAATGCATCACTAATCATAATCTAGTGTTATAATATATTTTAGAAGTATGAAATTTTACATGAGTATTTTGTCCTTTGGTATTTGAAGTATATTTTCATGCTGATACTTTTGTACTCAAGTGAGATTTTGAATGCAGGAATTTCACATACAGCAGAGTATTTTAACACTGTAGTATTGCTATTTTTACTGAAGCAAATGATCTGAGTACTCGCACTGAGTACACCATGTGGGCACCTGTCAAGTATTTAACTCCAAACTGTTTAAATTCAGTCAACCATAGCGTCATTCACACGCTGCGGTATTTTGTTAAACGTGGTTTTGATGTTTTCTTACACGCCCACATCGTCATAGTCGTCGTCGTCGTCGTCGTCTGTGTCCTGATCCCTGAGACAGAAAAGAGAGGTTTAATATTGTAAACAGATATTTCATGTTTGACACTTTTGTCTGTGACGAGTCTTTTACCCTAATGGACTCTTGCTACTGCCGGTGGATCCAAGTGAAGGTGTTAACTGAATAAAAAGAGGTTACAGCCAATGAGTACAAACTTATAGATGAATAAAACAACCCAACACTCCTCCATTTGTCGTGTTAAATTTATGTTTTTGTTGTTGTGATAAATACAATAAATATAGTAAATATAATATGTCCCGAAATCAGTCATGTTGATTTTTTACAAGTTGTGTAAATTTAAAAAAAGTCTTTTACTTTGTACTTTGCACTTTTTCCACACCACTACAGCACTGTGTACTGTACGCACTGTGTGGAATATGTTTGTGTATATACATGCATACTAATACAGCATGTATATGTTTTGTATGCTTTCATGTATACTTTCTGTTTTTTGTGTCGTCTTAAATGTAAACTTTTGGCCCTTACTTATGGATTTATTAAGGTATATATATGCACTACAAATGTATACATCTGTATGATTGTCCAGTAAGTAGTATATGTATATTCTGTGTCCATTTTCTATGTATACAAATATGTAGTAAGTATGTAAAGTATTTATGATGCATGTGTGTACTATATATTTATATATATATATGTATGAGTATGCAGAAATATGCCTTACACTTTATGTACAAAAATATACTGTACTATACTATGTACTGTATATATTTATACTGTATATACTGTATATATAGATATGTGTGTATATGTATATGTGTGTGGCTATGGATGTGTGTTTACAAGTAAGTGTATATTTATAAATATACATAAACATATATATATATTTAGCAACATGTATTGTATATATGTACCTATTATGTATATTTTGTGGGCATTTGTGTGTACATAGATACATACAAATATGTAGTAAGTTGCAAGTATGTCAAATATATATGATGCATGTGTGTATAGATGTATGTCTAAGAAGTACTGCTGTACTACTAATATGTTATAAACTTACTGTAGCGGTTGGCGATTGGTTCTTCATAGGCCTCTGAGTGTAAATCTGTTCCACTGAGGGACCACAAGCCAAAATATTTAACACAATGACACTTTTTACATCAACATGTGCTTCACTTTATCCAGAGACACTTAAAGTGCAGCAGAATAGGTGTGTATTCGTTCACCGGCATTATTATTATCTAATAAATAGAGAGCAACAGTGAGTGAAATGATGCGTGATATATGCAAGTAGTATTTATAATCTCTCTAAATGGACATGAATACAAATACCTTTTGTATTACGAGATTGATTTTATCATGTACGATATGCTGTATGCATGCATACATTTACTCAAGTACTGTACGATTTACTTGTACTTTACTTGAGTATTTTCACGTTATGCTACTTTCTACTTCTGTTCTACTACATCTCAGAGGTAAATATTGGTAAATGTTGTACTCCACTAAGAGTAATTGACAACTTAAGTTACTTTGCAGATTCAGATAAATACTACAAAATATAAATAAACAAAAAAATGATGACGTACTATTAAAAATGAAGCTGCCCAGTAGTATTGAAAGTCATTTAAATATAATCCATCTTTACTAGATGCAATATTTAAGTGATTAAGACATAAATGTCTCAATAATTACAGTTCAATATCATATTATGTATTATTCTGAAATGGGCCATACTGCATCATGAGTACTTTTACTTTGGGTACGTTAATTATTTAAACTCAATACTTTATTTTCCCAAAACTTTAAATTCATGACCTTTACCTCTAACAGAGTATTTCTACACTACGGTATTGTTACTTTTACTTAAAGTTACAATCTCAAAGATTTGGTTCTCAGCAACTAAAGAGTCAAATTTCCATTTCACATGTTGTGAAACCATAAATAGTTCAAGCAAATGGCTTAAAACTCACCATCGTGCCAAAGAATGTGACATATTTAACCTACTGAGTTTGGTCATCGTTAAATTAAAAGACTGTCTTCTTACTGCTGGTGGCAGAGTTTGTCCTCTCTGCCTGGTTGTGTTTGTTGACAGACTGGATCCTCCTCAGAGATCCAGGCAGCGTCACCTTAAATCAACAAGAACACACATGGTTCATTCCTTCAGGGTCTATTATCTCGGCTGTGGTAGACACCCTGACCACCAGTTGGAAAAAAATATACATATTTTGAAGTTTTACTTTCAAGTGTAAAGTTGAGTTCAACACACCAAAAAAACAACGACAGTGATGGACTTTTTTCCTCATCTATAATGAATAAATGAAGGTGAAATTACGATTGACCAGACTGATAATATCTATCAAGAGCGTCATCTCTTATCAAATAAAGTGTTAATGAGAATATGGTCAAGACCTCCATCTCGTCGTCCTCCGTCAGCAGGCAGGACTTGTGTTTCTCAGGGTGTTGACACTTCTCCAGCAGGTCCAGCGTCAGCTCCCGTTTCAGGCACTGCTGGGTCAAAAACATGTTCTGCAGAGAGAGGACGAGGTAGAGAGGAGACACAGGTGGCAAAGGGTGGAGACGGAGACAACGTAAATGGTGAGTGAGCTGAAGATGATGAACAGTATAAGCAGCATGTCGGAGATAAAGGCCAGCTCGGACCAGATCAAGTAAAGAAAAAGACTGGATGACAGTCCGTCAGTAGTTTTTTATGCAAGAAAGAGCTGTGGTCAAATAACTCGGGGGGCAACAGAAAAATCTTATGACACTGACAAATAATCACCTTCTAAATGCACAATGAGTAGGATTTTCCTGAATATGTTACAAACAAAAACAATCCCTCATAATCATCACTTATGACCCACTGGAGGTTCATGGTGGTTCCTGTATCTGCAGAGACTCTGGACATTTCTGGGCATCAACCTCTAAAGAATGCTGTAAACGAGCACCCAAGAGGAAGCTTGAAAAGTGGCGGACACAAAAACAATGCCAATAAAGCGAAGCAAGAGTTAATCTGGGGTTGGTTTAATCTGCCTCCACATGCGCTCCGTCCACAGAAATACGTCTTCATGTGTACTAACATAAAAAATTGCCTGTACATTCACAATAGGCTGGTTGATTTGATTCAGAACTGACGGCGTGTAAAGCTGAACTGGAGCATACGGTGTGTGAGCGGTACTGACTGAGAGCAACTTGGAGGCACTGGGTCTCTTCTTCGGGTTCCTCACCAGCATGGCCTTTACAAAGTTATAAAACATGGAGGACCTGCAGACAGGAGATATGTTGGTAGCAGGACCACATATCATCTTTAAATACTAATGCACACATATAATGGATGATAGTATTAAGCGTATATTATTCTGTTTATATTATTGATGTCATTGCTGTTTCTTTATCTAACTTTCTTCAGATTTAAATATTTCATATGTGTAAAAAAAAGAGAAGCTTTTCACGGCTTTAAATATAAACGAACAGCAACAGCTTGATAGATACTGTAGTAACCATGTGCTTCCATGATTTAATGATTAAATATAATGTGTTTTCATTTACCATTTAGACTTGTCCTTCAGTTTGGGAGGTTGGTAGCCGCTCTTGGACATGAGAAACAGGACTCTGCAGGATAAAAACACAGTCGATGACAATCTGTGTGTGTGTGTATTTATGCTCATGAATATATACTTATACATAGGCCTGATCCATCCTATAATAGCTTCAATTTGTAAGGTGAAGGTGGGTGAGGTCGTGTCTTTCAGTGTGGCTTTACCTCAGCGGGTGGACGTCAAACATCGGCGGCTGTAGCTCCGCCAGCTCGATGGCTGTGATGCCCACAGACCAGATGTCGCAGCGTTCATCGTAGCCACCTTTAATCTCCACCGCTGCCACCTCCGGAGCCATCCTGAGGACAGGAGGGAAACAGCAACAAGTCACGTTTGTGCCACAGATTCGGTGCAGCAAGAAACTCTAGTTATACTCCATCAAACTCCTGCCTAGGAAAAGAAACAGCCAACGATGAAGGAAGAGGAAGCTCATTATGAAGTGAAACAATGCTGCTTCTCTCCCCGCAGACACCTGCAGTTATTTTGCCCTTAAATGTTTAGATGCAGGTGTTTTACAGGACCTGTGACATTCAAAGCTGTAGAGAGGCTGATCTCCGGGTGTTAACCTCACCAATATGGCGTCCCGATAAAGGACATCCGCCGAGCCAGAGTGGCAGTGATCTGAGCCGAGATCCCAAAGTCAGCTACACAACAGAGGGAACAAAAACAAAGTATAAACAAAAAATCCTCTCATTCAATTTTACAATTTTACAATAAAATCAAGACAGCTTTCTGTATTTCTTATTGAGTTTCAAGCAAGTTTCAAGCGCTGACACATGTCTCAAGTGCATAAACCCAGAATTTGTATTAATGGTTGTGTTTTCAATGCATGCGGGAATACCCAACAAGATTATTCCTCCCATTCTGGATTCAATTGTAAAAGTGTTGTATTCATGGGGAATTCTAAGAATTTTGCTTGTGAATGAAACATTTAGCAGCCGAATATCAAATGTTGGATTCCAACCACCACAAAATAAATTCTCAACAAGCGGGAAACCCATTTTAAGTCCTCAACTAACACCCAGATGAGACAGCGTAAATGTGTCAATCAGCTATAGCAGCTATTTAGTGACTCATCTTAACCACACCAGTGCAGCGCAGAGCAACAGGTTGCAAACATCCACCTACCCAGCTTGACCTCGCCCCAGTCGTTGATGAGGATGTTGGCACCCTAGATGCAAAAGAGGGCGAGAGAAACATCAACACAGACACGACCAGACAAACATCTTATCTCCACTCAGGGATCTTTACTGAATCCACACAGGATGGAAAGCCTGTTGAGTCTGAGAGTACAATAAAAGTCCATGTGATGGGCTGATTGCTGGAGTGTACTTCTCTTCATCAGCTGCTGCCTTTAGTACGTCAGAAGTAATCAGATTCTTTACTTAAGTAAAAGTAAAAGTTTTTAAGATAGAGGATAATACAGCAAAAGCTGGTTCAATTACAGATATGAGGATTAGTTTAGTATTCAGGAATACATACAGCTGGAAGCATAATCGATTAAACAGTCTTGTTTCCATCTTAAGCTCCACTGCACTTTGACTCGACTGTAGTCTAACGTGCATTTAACACAAACAAATTGAAGAGTTAACAAAATAAAAGTCACCTTGATGTCTCTGTGGATTTTCTTCTGTGCATGCAGGTAGTCCAGACCCTGGTCTCACACACACACACACACACACACACACACACACACACACACACAGTGAGCATCCTAACTGAAAACTGAATTTGTCACCAAAATAAAAGCTTTCACTTAGTAATTTCACCTATTAAACACACTTCAGTCATAGAGAGCAAACAAATAATAAAGGGAACAAATTGTGGGAATGTGGTTTTCTCCCTTGAAAATGATTATCAACAGCATCAGATAATTAAGAACAAAACCTCAGTTAATAATTTAAAAAGTGTGACTTTACCTGCAGCATCTCCCTGCAGATGTAGGCGATCTGTGGCTCAGCCAGAGGACCAGTCACTGTGGGACACAATTTACTTGTAATAATGGACAGTGCAGTACATGAACAAGGTGCATTACAAAGGCTTCGTAACGTGTATTTACAGGCTGACTTGAATTTTGTTTAGCTTATCAGAACTGAGGACTGAAACGTTCCATCCATTATCTTTCTTATACGGGGCTGACGCGGGGCAGCAGGGTATTCCAGATGTCCTTCTCCCCAGCAACGTTTTCCAGCTCTTTCTGGCTAACCCCCTTTTACCAGTTGGAGGTGCCTGGAAAACCTCTAAAGGGAGGCCTCCAAGAGGCATCCGGATTCGATGTTTAACCAGCTCAGCTGGCCCTTTTCAATGGGACCCTTTTCAACACACACACACCATGACACACACACACACTCACCATGGTAGATGTCCTGCAGGGAGCCTCCTCCACAGAACTCCATACAGATCCACAGTTTATAATCTCTGCAGACAGAAGACGAGTGAATCAAGTGTACGTGAGACTGATGAAGAGAGCGAGAGGGAGCACAGACAGACACACAGCTCACCGTATGTAGCTGCCAAAATAAGCCACTATGTTGGGGTGTTTGCAGCCCTTCACTATGACGATCTCCTGCTGGATGACAGAAAAATCATCATCTGTGGAACCAGACAGAGAGAGAGAGAGAGAGAGAGAGAGAGAGAGAGAGAGAGAGAGGATATGATATTTATTACTTTCATCACATTACATACGAACACAGTTGGTGCCTAAACACGCTACATGCTATTTGCTGGTTGTAGGTAACTTTGGACAAAAGTGCTGCTAAATAAATGTACCGTGTACAGATAGAGCACCAGCTGATATGACCAGTTAGCATGTTAGCATGGTAAGCACCTCTGAACAGCTCACAGTATAACAGGCTAATAGATAATCATTAGCTTCAATTACCACTGACGCAGTGGTGGCATGTACCTCAGTACATCCACTCAAGTACTGTACTTAAATACCCATTCAAGGTACTTTACGTGAGTGGTTCCATTTTACGTTACTTTTCTACTTCTACATCTCAGAGGTAGATATTGTACTTTTTACTCTTCTTCCTTTTCAAACATGATGATCTCATAGAACATATATATTGATGTAGATTAAACTAACCAACAGGATTTAAAGGAGTTAAAAACATCTACAGCAGTAAAATGCAACATACACATTAATGCAGCAGTAATATTAATCCAGAAACATCATACATAATAGTACTACACTGACAGGCTCTGCTCACATATTACTACTTCCCCATACAGTAAATGCATTTTTTGAATCCCTGAAACAAGTAGCACATACTATAAGCAGGAAGATGTACTTCAATTATTAATAGTATAAAAATGCCCCTGTGACTGTTCTAGTAGTATATATTCTATCATTAGATCATCATTACTCGTGTATTAATGTAAAAGCAGGGATTTACTGCTGTAGCTGGTTGAGCTGGAGCTCATTTTGAGCTATTAACTCATGATTCTTTTCATTACGGTCTAATCTGCTGATTATTTTCTCCATGAATTGTTTGGTCTGTAAAAACTGTAAAAATTGTGAAAAATGACGTCACAATGACCCAGAGCCCAAAGTAATACCTTCACTACGTTTGTTTAGTCCAAACCTCAACATCATTAATAAAACATTGACATTATTAACATTATTAAAAGAAAAAGCAGCAAATCTGGAGCACTGAAATATTTTTACATTAAAATAAATAAATGTTTTTTGATCGACTAATCGCTTCAGCTGTACTTTTTAGAACTACACTTCATATCACATACATTTTTCATACGTTTTGTGTGCAAAAGTCTGCTATGTAACTAATGCTGATGATTGCTTTGGAGTAAAAAGTACAAGATTATTTTTATAGCACAATTCATACATATCGCCAATTCAAATGAAATGCAAGAAGTTAAAAGTGGAATGAAAAGAAAAGACTCAAGTAAAGTACAAGTGCCTCAAACTTGTACTTAAGTACAGTACTTGGGTAAATATACTACACTGGAAATATGCTCATTACCTTTGTGCAGGTGCACAAACATTTAAATGAAACTTCTCACCTGCTTCCATCTTGATGACCTTGATGGCTGCCAGCTCTCCGTTCTGCTTGTTACGTGACTGAACACACAAAAAGAAACATATACAGGCTGTCACTTTACTCTGCAGCAGTCAGTCATTGGCAGTTGGCCCATTTCACAATGATTATAATTATTGGTTATTAAAGTTAATGTTGCAGCCGGTAAAGGTGAAGTCCTTTTTAGTACTTTATAACCTGCTGGGTAGCTTAATCTATAATGATACTCATAATCATATTTTATTAGTTGATTTATATTCCATATTTTGAATCAGAATGTGCAAAGTAACTAATGTTATCTAAATAAATGCGGTGTAAAATGTACATTTGCTTCCAAAATGTCGTGAAGTAAAAGTATAAAGTAGCAAAAAGTTGAAATACTCAAGTTAAAGTACCTCTAAGTACAGTGCTTGAATAAAAGTACTTAGTTGTATTCCACAACTAGTCATGTGACGACAGAACTTTGTAAATTGTTGAGCAGAGCTTCATTTGCATGTTTTCTGTCCAGATCAGTAGTGAAACAAACATCCTATCGCACCACTCTGTGGCATTACAGACACACACATACTCACACAGACACACACACTCACACACCTTTTTAATCACACACACACTTACAGCAGACAAACATATACACACACACGCTGACCTTTAAAAGTGTGATACGAGAAAATGGTTGCACTTCTCTTTGCTTATTTTCACTATTCATAAACAGAAACCACAAAGAGAGCTTCCTACACACAGAAACATAGTTTAAATTGATCCAAGCAGCAACTTGACCACTGTATTGTACTCCAGATGTTATTGGGCCAGAGGACCATTGTGATTAAAAAAGGTCTCTTTTACAAGGGTAATACAGTATGTACATATATATATGTATTTCTACAGTGATAATAAAGCATTAAATTACTTTGAAAGGGAGAGAGAGAGAGAGAGAGAGAGAGAGAGACACTTTATGTCAAACAGAAAAGCTGAAGACAAACAACTACCAAAATATTCTGCTGTTAAAATGATCTCTGTGTTTATAATGTTGTAAGTAAAAGTGCTTTACCCAATATGAACCCCATTGAGTTCTTACATTATTATCTAAAGGGCCACATAATAAGAATTTATTGTTAGGGAACTCTCAGGAACACTTGATGCGTTATAAACATACCTTTAATACCTGTAGCGCTGTGTAATTCTAGATCTAAGCACTCATAAATAATGCTTTATAACAATAATCATAACTATATTTATAACATAATTATAAAGCATTTAACAATGACTTATAAGGTCAAGGATCATATAACTTAATAACTGATAGTCACGCACTGAATTGTTTTGGTTTTGAAAGGAATTTAATGCTTTATTATCACTGTTGTAATGCATTAAAGTGTGATTAGAAGTTACTCTGGGTGGTCATTGTTTGCTTTAAGTAAAGTAAAACATATATTAAATACATGCAACACACAAGACATTTTGAAATGAATTTCCACTCAAAGCCAACAATGACCACTTAGAGTAACTTATAGTCACATCAAAATGCATTATAAAAAGATCATAATTATGGTAATTGTAATACACTATGATCCTGAGTCAGTGAGTGACCAGCAATTATTAGGTATAATGACACCTAGAAAGTCATAAAATGCTCTATAATATGTTAAGAATATTATCATAAAGAATTATGAATATTTATGAGTGTTTACAACTATCATAATACTGTGCGATACACTGATTAAAATGCATTATAATTGTGTTGATGATATAATACACAATATTAAACAATTACAGTTAAACAACCCTTTAACCAGGAAGATAAAGATGAAATCATTGGACACAAAGGCTAGAGTGAAAGGAGAAGAATGGTGGAACGTAAATAAGTACTGCACTTAAACACAATTTTGTTGTACCAGTACTGCACAGTATTTAAATTTTATGCTTGAATCTTTGGAATGTACTTTTTACTCCACTATCTAATTGATAACTTAACTTAATTTTGCAGATACAGAATATAATTCAAAGTATACAAATGAGCTCCACCTTTACCAGCTGCAACATTAAAGTGCTATTCATGAATCAATAACTACAATACAGTAATATAACATATATTATACATATTAAGGACCATTCTGTGTAATTTTAGTTTTTAGGTATATTTTGATGCTAATACTTTTGTACTTTTTTTGAATGCATGTACCAGACTGTAGTTTGGAAATGTCTGCCTGCCTACTTCACTGAGAGGAAATACCCATCCTCACGATGTCACTCGTCAAATACAAACACAGTCAGAAGCGTACTCGGTCAGCGAGGGCTGGACAGTAAACACAGACGGAGGAAACTCCACTGCCTCAGAGAGCATGACACATGGATATTTGAGCAATAATCTCTGATTGTATTATGACTACAATCAAAAGATAAACTGCTTCGTAATGAATGTATTTCTACGTGTCTTTCCCTGTCGTCGCTGAGCTCATATAACAAACCAACTTTGTTGTCACATATTTCATGAAATGAGCAGGACATCGTTAGCATGTGTGTTAAGACATTAATTAAGCGAGGAGCACAATTTCCCCCAAAACAAAAAAAGGAAGAAGGCAGGCGGTAGCCACCTCCGCTGTCAAAGCGCCGTTTTCATGTTGTAGGAAACTGTAATGGAAGCTGACACTCCTTAGTGAGAGGTCTGTTGATGTCAGGGGGCTTTGGCTTTGACGGTGAAAAGGCACGGTGGAAAGTCGGGGCGTTGTGGTCGTCGACAATTGGCTCACATTTAAGACCGACAGCTTTATTTTCAGCGGACTCTTTCCTAATTAACCAACAGCTAACGCTACTGTTCCACAAACTAACCTTAAAGGGTCAGTTACATGCAACACTTTCCTCTCGTGGTATTCAGGCATGCGGGGTAGATTGGTTTGTTGTGCTCGTGGCTTTCATATATTACATTCATCAATGTGTCCTTCCAGAAAGATTCAGGTTAATACGCTGACCTCACTGTGGACAGTTTTCACTGGAACTACTTTTGACTGAAGAAGTCCTAACACTGTTAGCTGTCAGCACTGTTAGCTCTATTAAAAATAGACAGTTTTCAATACTGGCCTGAATAATCCCAAACTCTAAAACCTCAGGCAAAGGCATCAGGAGATTGGCAACTTGACGAACTGGTAGATGAACAGCTGCGTTCCAAAATCGCATCTTTTTTCTTTTAGTTCATACTGCAGCTGCCTTTACTAAGTACATACTGTTTCATGAGACATTCATTCCAGTGGGGCATACTACATCCTCTTATTGTGGTTTCCTTCAACTTTGACTCTCTTGCTCATTCATTCACTGCGCAAAGGATTTGGGGTCACAATAGCCAGAAAAGCAAACCGTGGTAACGCCAGGTGCCAACTGACTTCCGTTTCTCCATTGCTGTGGTTTTGCAATCGACGGCTCAAGCTACCGAAATCTTGGAAAGGGGAGGATTCAGTTGGTTGCAATTTCATCTGCAACCACACCGATAGATGGCACTAAATCCCACACACCGTGAACCTGACCAAAGTTGCTTTACCCGCCCGAATGTAAAGCTGCATTAAGCAATTGTTGACTAGAAATGCTAAGCTTTTAGCAAGCAGTTACCTACTAGCACAGCAGACACAGAGCAACGTCCCATCAGAGTTGTGTTTGGTTTTGGTTGTTTCAGGTCAGCTCAAGTAAACTCGATTATCTTTGTACAGCCCGATAGCACAAATTCGCCTCAAGGGCTTTATAATCTGTACAGCATCAGACACCAACTGGATAAGGAGAAAATTCAGTCCAATTTTCACTGGCCTAACTCCAACAACACTTGACAAAAATATCTGGCTTATTAGCTCCATTTCCTGAACCAGTGACTTGTATTCTTTGTATTCTTTACAGTTCTTTGCGTACACTCGGCTTGTCTGGGCTTGAAACAGCTGTCCACAGTGAGAGTCACACTCGACCTACAGTACTGTATGTGAGCTGCCCTCAAAACACAAAGAAATGTTCATCTTCAAAAAGGTTCATAGCAGGTATACAATCTCTTCTGGGAAGCACCAGAAGCTGTGTACTCACATGTGGAGTACAGTCAAGACAAACAAAAAGCGTTTAGCAGTTGAGGGGTAAGAGAGTGAACGCAACAATGATGATGGAAACTCCACTCAGTTTAAAGAAGTGTGTGTTAGTGTGTCACTGTGTGTGTGTGTGTGACATCAGAGAGGTCACTGAGAGGAAAGACGCCCCACAAGTAAACAACCAAACACTCACTCACACACACACAAACACACACACACACACACACACACACACAAGCTGGACGTCACAGCGGAAGCAGCAGCGACGTTTCCATCTTAAAGTGTGTGTTGTCTAGTTTCGGGGGTCTTTTCTTTTACTGACCTCTGTGACAACACACACACACACACAAGATAACAAACTGGTTAACAAACTGGTTAAGAAGGCCGGCACCATCATTGTCTGCAAACAAGACTATCTGGAAGAGGTGGTGGAGAGGAGGACACTGAAGAAACTATTGTCCATATTGGATAACCCGGACCACCCTCTCCACCACCTACTGCAGGGACAGCGGAACACTTTCTCCAACAGACTGATCCAGCTCCGCTGTCACAAGGACAGATACAGGAGAACATTCCTGCCCTCTGCTATAACACTCTATAATAAATCACCTCTGGCCAGATCACCCTCCTTCAAATAGCTACAACAACGCTTTGTTGTTGGTGATCCTTGCACTGCTGGTTAGTTTGTTTAGTTTACCTAGTTGTTAATTTAATACCATTCTAATTCATTGTATGTACTGTGCATTTTTTGCATTTTTATTAGTTATTTGTTATTTTTTATTTTTTATTATTCAAATTCAATATCTGCTCTGTTATTTTATTGTACTGTATATATTTTGCATTACCATATGTAATATTTTGTATTTTATTTTACTCTGTAAATTGCTGCTGCTACAAACTAATTTCCCCCTGGGGCTGAATAAAGTTGATATCTATCTATCTATCTATAATAAGTAGTATCATGATACTTTTGTTGACAATAAAACTAG